TCTATTTTTTTTTATTTGTTTCATTTCTATCAACTCAGTAGATTCTACCGTGATAAATCGGACTTCGAGAAGTCCTTATTGTTTGTGGGTTTGAGGCTGTTTGGAGAATAGGGGTTCTATTGTCCGAGCAAAAGTTCAAAAAATTTACTTCAGGTACGAAAGTCCAGCGACTTCGAGTGGTCCCACTATACATGTTTATTGAGAGTTAAACTTGCTTAGAATTCTAATAATGAGAGTAAAAGAGAACATCTCTATTCTTTCTCAGATTACGGAGCGTGGCTAAAATAAAAGGTGCTAAAGACCCTCCCGAATGCAATAAATGTCTACGGTCTGATTGTACACAAAAATAATATTCCTTAGTTTTCTGTCGGTACATTTCATTTTGCATCAATGTCAAAATTGACCCTGGTATATTATCATTAGTGCACTCTACATTTTGCTGTTGGTAAAAGAATTCTCTACATGATCAATCGATATTAAAAAAAATATTTATTTCAAACAATATAAAATAATAAAATCTAATTAATTTATAAATGTGAAGCTAAAGTTATTTACAATCAAGTAAAAATGTTAATAATTATTTATAATCGATCAAAAGTATGAATTTATAGACAAAAGTTAATAATTAAATACCCTTTCAGATAGTCCCTACAACAATAGACTATCCCCACTAAAATATGTTTGAACCTTAATTTAAATAATAATAATAAATTTAAATAATAATAATAATAATAATAATAATTTAAACTTACTTCTTCAGTCACCATGAAATGACTATTAATGTTAGTTTAATTATAGTAATTATAAACTTAAGATTATAATTAAATTATAATTATCATTATTCAAATTTTCTTGTATTTCTGTAAAAAGTGGGAAAATTAGTTATATTACAGATTTTTTGGGTATTTATCAGGAAAGTAGAAGCGCTAATATAATGACAATAATAACCAAACTGATTTTCCTACTCTCTAACTGTTATGGCGGAATATCATTCTTTGGCTGGACATGCGATAAAGAATTCCGCTTTTACCATGTGATTTGAATCTCCACCTTCGTGGAGGAGATTTCACTTTTCTCACTTTTAGCGGAGAATTTGAGGTTACACTTATCACTCGTTGCTCGAGAAGGAGCGAGTTTCTTTATTTTTTATACTTTTTGTTGAAGGAAGTCACTGTGTGGCGCCACCTTTCGAAAAACGGAGGTGAGCTCTACGGGCTTCCGTAGAAACTTTATTTCAAGAAAAAATATATTTCAGTCGGTATTTGCTCTTATGGTATAGCGAAGGCATCAATGAAGCCGAGTGTTTTCTATTACACACTGATGGTATCAAAATCATACGGTCACTACTTTACCAACCAGCTCATCGGTAAACAACCATTTTCAATTGTTGTCGTGAGTATGACAATTTGTTTTGCAAAAAATTGTAAAAAAACTGTCGAGATGTTTTGGAATGATAACATGCATGAAGTTTGATTTAGTAATGATCTTAGTATCAGATGATCGGGAAATTCTTTCAAATTAATATAGCTTTTAATTTGGACATACTACAGAGATGAAGTTAAGAGAAAAAGTTAGTTTTTGCTATGTGATATCTATTCAAACAATATTATACTATTTGAATTGAGGAAGAGTCGATTTTAGACTTTATCTTTATAATAACATATTGTAAATGTAAATATTTTATCAACTGTAAATGATTAAAATTGATTTTTTTGTAGTAGAAGCGTTCTTTTTCCGATTTATTTATAATTTTTGAAGCCATATTTACACATGCTTTGGTCAATGGAGTGATTATGCTAAAAAGGGATTATTCTTACAATCAGATTTGTACTATCTTTTAATTTAGCTAACTCAGCCCAATTTAGTCTAAATTGTCTTAAAGAGTGAAGACATAGATACTTCCATACAAAAATTGGATTAAGTCAAATATAATGTTTTCCTTTTAGGAAATTTCTTGTTCGATTAATTTGAAATAGTATCAAAAATGAAGAAATACATTTGGATCATAGATCGAAATGTATAATAAACAAATCAATATCAACAATTGGCTTAGCATTCAACAAGATTTCAACAATTTTTGTTCAATAAAAATCAAGAAATTAAAATTTTTAATTTTAGCGTCATTCCAGACGCGTACTTGGTACAACGTTTTACTGACATGTAGTACTATCAGTTTTGAGGGTATTACAAATAATTAACTTATTCGAATTTTTTCATCATTGATTATAAATGAAATCTTTTGACAATCCTTCATACTTTGTTTATGGATTTTTATTTACGACTTTGTATTTTATGGTCAAGATATTTTCTTATTCGCGTATAAATTTTTCACGTTCTTGAATGTATTAATTAAATAAATTTAAATTAATGAAATTAACTACAATTTAATACACATTGTTCTCAATAAAATCTTTTGTAATCCAGTTTTGTTTTCATTTGCAATACAAATAAAGCGACTTCTATGAATGACGACTCAAGTACATGAGAATATATCTGTTTATATAAATATTCACGTGATTTTACAAATTTTTTCTAAACAAACATAAATATTATAAATTTTAAAGCAACCCAATTTTTTCGCGATCATCTTTTTATCTGAATACCTATTCAGATAAAATACTAAAAGGAAATGATGAGAAAGGGGAATTATTGCAAGAGTGGGTCACTGTAGTAGGAAGTAACCGTGTCTCGACAAGTAGAAGATTTATGGTTGTACGCGGTCAACCGTAGGGTGACTAACCTTTGACTTTTCGAATATCATGGGTTGGCATCCTAACCCTAAAAAGTAGCTTCATCGTTGAAGTCATCTGATGAAATGAGTTTACGTCAAAATGGTAAATTCTTTATTAACATCATTTTTAATATTTCTTTCTTGTTACAAATTTCTGTCTGACATTAAAGTCTCCATTTTTTTTTCATCATGATACAATTCATCTTAGTTGAACGATGCATTAACAACGTATTTGACGATAAGTGAATAAAACGATTTTCTAAAGATGTTAATATTTGTATAAAGTAAAGTAGCAGAATTAAAGTTATCAAAGTTGTCAACTTATCTTACACTAAAGAGAAAGTTGCTTAAGAAAGATATCAAAAGGATGTACTTGAAAGAGCAAAGGAAATAAAATATAAAACGAAAGTTTGTATATGTGTATTTACATTGACGAGAAAAGCCGATTTGGAAACTTAAACGTTATAATCTTTTCTTAAAAGTGTTATCATATCTTATGACATATTTTCAAGCTTCAATCCTCTTTAATTCATTCATTTTCCGCCCATTTTTTTTGTACATTTACTTCGAAATGAAAATTTAATTAATTTTTTGTTAAACTTTCATATCCTCTTTTTTTTCTTTTTATCAAACATTTATTTTTTAAAAATATTCTTTCGTTCAATTAAAAAAAAATCTTCGTTCAATTGAAATAATTTTTCATTGAATAAAATCATTTTTATCAAAGAAAATTAAATATTACTTTCAATTCATATTAAATATCAAAGTCGTCATTCATCATATTTTTTTTTCTTCATATGCAAAGAATGAGATCAGTTAGAGGAAAAAAAAAATTTTTTTTATAGTCATCATAAAAAATTCACCAGAGATTACATTAAATGGCAAAGATTATACCTAGGGCTTTATAAAATAACAGTCCTATACAAATCTAACGATAGTAATTGTTCATCCATGCAGTAGTCGGCAAAGTGGCTTCATATGAGGTTGCGCCGTGGCATAAACCTGACTCACTCACGTCAAGCGTAGTCATCTATCATTGTCACAAATTCTTTAGTAATGCACTACTCACACAATTGCATTTACCAACATTTATAGATGACAGCTTGTGCCCTTTTTCGTGTATTTTTTATTCTTATTTATTTATTTATTATTTTATTGTTTTATTTTAAACTATTGTTTAGGCTAAATATTTTATGTATTTTATTTATTAGTTTTTTTTTTTTACGGATTAAGAGTTGGCGTAAAAGCTTATTTTGTATCACCTCTTTTGTTACTTAATGAGATTTTTGTTATTATTTAATAAGAAAATGATGATGATTAAGAGTTTTTGTAAAAAAAACTTGATAGCATACATCTGTTATTATTTAACAAAAAGAATTTAATTTTTATAATTTATGAGAAATATTTTTCAACTTATTATAAAAAATATCTCCGATCATATTTCAATTAATAAAATAGTAATTTTTTTAGTTTTAATTATTTTTTTTTTTTTATTAAGAATAACATTCTCTTACCTTTTTCATCTTGTTGTCGTTCATATTTTTAAAAAATAATTTTTTGTTAGATTTATTATTAGTCTTTATGAAAGGAAATAATGTAGGAATGAAATTTTCTAAATGATTTGTATTTGCTCAGTGTGTAATTAAATAAAAAGTTACAAGCACAACAATCATGAATATTAAATTTTTCAAGTATTTTACAAAGAATTAATAAAGATCATTTTAATTTTTTTTTTTTTCATATATTTTACATAAGTAATTTAAAAATATTATAACTAATACTTGACATAAAATAAACTAAGTACATATACAGTGTTAAATTAAAATTAAATTACTAACGCAATAAATTCGTTTCATCAGTTGTATTTAGCATATGGTTCTGAAAAATTAAAAATAAAAATTAGTAAAAAATATATATAATAAAATAATAAAAAATTATCTTCTCGTTAACATGTCTATAATTTTTCCTAAAGTTTTTTTTTTCATTTTTCTACTAAAAACAATATTAAGTTGATTTCATTTTTAATTTTTATCATCTTTAGCAATTTAATAAGCTCTTAAGCGTCCTAATGGCAGTCTAATTTTTATATAATACAAATTAAAAAAAAAAATTTCTCCATCTTTCTATAAGATCTATAAGTATATTTGTATCGTAATGGAGTTATCACTTATTTTTTTTATGTTATGTAATATAATACAGAATTGACATAATGAATAATAATGTTTATTTATTGAATAATGATTTTATTTTAGTATTATGATCCATATGATAATTTACAATTGATTAATCTAAATAATTTTAAATATCTGATTTATCATTCACTAATTGTTCATTTAATTCAGTTCGACTGATTTACATTACTCTAATAACTCAGCTGAGTTGATAGTATTCAGGAGCAAAATCATTAGCTAAATTGCTGAGAAAGTTAAAGTCCGAATGACTATTATTAATATCAACTGACGAAGTTGGAGTTATCACATTAACTGAATCTCCACCATAAAAATTACCAAAGTTTCCGTATGATTCTGAATTACTTTCGACTTGTCCTACACTCTCTGGTGGGGTGATGACAGCCGCTGTTGCTGCAGCAATAGCTGTTGCTGTAGTCGTTATTCCAGGAGCTGGAAAGGGATCTGGTGATGAAACGTAACTATTCAAAATATTCGATGCTTCGCCACCATGATGAATGTGTAGCTGTGTATTTTGCTCGTAATAATTATTGGAATGGCATTTGTTGACAGCTCTATAGTCTGCTTGGTTCGACGGAATGGATATTTGATGTACTACGTAAGACTCAGCAGAACTTTGCTGCTGCTGTTGTTGATGTTGGTGCTGTTGCGATTGGATATCACCATAATAATGTTGTCCACTTTGTAAAGAAACGTTTGAATGTTCATGTGAAAGATTTTCATCTGACGTATGATAAATACCACTGGTAGCATAATTATAACTACTATTGCTTAAGTATCCTTCAGTTTGTTCATTGTGGGAGTGAGAATATCCTTGAGAGGCATTGTATGTGTTTCCACTGTGCATATTTCTATGATATGATGCGTGATAAGAAGATCCACTCTGTAAGTAACCATTGTAATCGCTGGAGTTTAAATAGTGCATTTGTTGTTGATGATATTGATTAGAAGGATTGTAGACTGATCGATTAGTTGTGTTAGACCTTCGATGATGATTAGAAGTCGTGTTTATTTGGTTCTGTCGTATGTACGATGATTGCATTTCACTACTATGTGAAACATGTGATGGATAAGCATCTGCCCTATTGCAATATGCGTTCTGTGATTGGTTAGGATGATTAGTAACATTTTGTCTACCTATAGATAATTTATTTCGATATTCAATCATTTTTATAGGTTGGTATGTATTTTGCATGGATTGGATATTTGTTGGTTGATTACTAGGAATTTCCTTTAGGGAATGGGATGATGGATCAGTGCTTGGAAGATTATGTAAACTAGAACCGGCAACTGAGCAGGTCAGTGATGGAGACCTTTGTGGTATCTGCATGTAGGCAGTTTGAATAGACTGCGTTGTTGGAATTCCTAGTGGACTTCCTTGTTGTAGTTGAGCTGATACTGGAGTTCCTGGTGTTGAAGATGGTGTTAAACTTCTTGTTGAAGAGCCTTGTCCTGAAACCGCTGAACTTCCAACAGTGGAGTCTGGCATAGTAAGAAGTACTCCATTACTTGTCACTGTACTTATTTCTTTAGACTTTGATGAAGGTGATTTTTTACATATTGAAATTTGATGCTTAAGTACATTAGAAGGATGATCACCTTCAACTTTGACCCTCACTTCATTCGTTAATTTTTTTGTCATAGCTTTAGGTGATGCTACTGTACTATCATCATTGGATGTTGAATCTTCATTAGCTATTAGTTTTTCAAATGAACTTGATACTCCATTTGTACTACCAATGCTACTGGCTCCATTGCTATTACTATTAAATATATTTGATCCACTACCATTATTATTTGTCGCGCATGGAGAGTTATTATTGCCAGAATGTGTTAAACTACGGTCACTCATCTCACTAAAAGTGTTACTAACATCAGCTCTACCGGATATATCACAGTTGTGACAGTTCTTCTTTTTGTCATCCTCGTCAGTCAGCGATCGGTCTATATTGTGCTTCTCGTCCGACGATACGAGGTCTTTTTCATCACCATCTTCTTTACTCAACGTTTGTCTTTTATGTTTCATTCGTCGATTTTGAAACCATACTTTTACCTATAAGCATATAAAATTACACTACATTACTAAGAATATTTAATTCATCGTTCAATGTTGGAAATTTATATTTAGGCTCTTGATCTTTTTTGTTTTAAATATTATTTCATACCAACGACTTGAAAAATATAACTTTGAAAATTATATTTGCGGATTAAATATTACCTACTTATTTATAATAAGAAATTATTTTACTCATTATTTTATGATAAGAATAATTTTGAAGTGTTGAAATAAAATAATCACTCTAATATTAGCCCATAAAAATAACAGTTTTTTGTAGATTTACTAAAAAAAAATTTTTCACCAGAGAACTAGCAAAATCCATAAGATATAAAAAAAAATTCTATAGAAGTGTGATGTTCTCATCTCTTAGTTGACGGAATTTCTTAGGCTTGCGTTGAACCGTCATGTTTTCGTCTTAATATCTGTCAGTTTGTCAACGCATGTCACAGTACTCTAAATTTAAATCTATTAAAATTACTGAGCTATATTTATTTTCATGTCTAAGTATATATCTATATATTTTAAAAGCCTAAAATTGTTATACCAATAGCCTCTTTATAGACACTCAAGGTGAGTACAACTGTGTCTGAATTACATTTCATTTAATTACGTGCAAAAATTTGATATCTATTTAATGAATATCATAAGCCATTAACAATTATTTAATAGCATGAAACATTTAATAATAATTTATATTTTTATTTGCATCATAAATAAAAAAAGTATCTTGAAATTAAAACTCTAATAAATTGATAAATTATTTTTTTAACCAAAGATATACTAGAATATCTGTGTTTTAAAATATAAAAATCTATGTTTGATTCATTGTAGCATCATTTCGATGGCCGAAATATAAAAGATATTTTAGAACAATAACTTTTAAATATCATAAACAAACAATACTGGAAGTTCCATTGAATTTCTGATTGAAATCTGAGCATATGCTGATCTAAACTGAAGTGTTCTGAGAAATTTCACATAGCTAATGTATTTTTTTATACATTAGAAGTAGTGTTATCCTGTTAGATATTTTATTTATAAGAAGATTGTTAATTTAATAACAATTATATATTAAAAAGAAAGGCCTTATTCGTGCCCCACCTGCCTTTCCGTGAGATCTAACGACGCAGCGATTTCAATTCTTCTTGGACGACACAGGTACTTGTTGAAATGGAATTCTTTTTCCAGTTCCAAAAGCTGTGTATTGGTATAAGCTGTTCGTAATCTCCTTGGTAAACCATTTTCTGGAACAAAAAAAAATAAATAATCATATTAATATGTAGTTAGTGTTACTTTTTTCAGGAGTAATATTTATTCAAATTATAGGATAATCCAGGATGTAACAAAACCTTGGTGGAAAATAACTTTTTAATAATGTTCTTAAAAGAAATATTTAAAGGAACACATTTTTTTTAACAATTAAAAGTATTAAGTGATGATAATAAATATTTTTTTTATGAATTACATAAGAATGTACATATTTTTAATGTCATTTATTGAATATTTTTTTTATTCATATGAAAATAATTCATGTTGAACAATCTCAAACTCTAGAAAAATCTTATTCAATTCTTAATAATTATTGCTTGCTTCATAATTATTAGAGTTTTTATATAATGTGAGCGACTATTTATCAATTAGATTCAGAGGAAAACTATTTTTTTCAGTTATAATGAGAAATCTCAATAATATCCAAGCTCTCAGGAAATTAATTTCAAGTAAAAAAGAAAAATAAATTTATAAAATTTTTTTTTTCATTGTAATAAATAATTTTTTCAAGTTGGAACATTTACTTTAGGACTATGATACTTGTTTATAAAATTAGAATATTTTAAACAGGTACACATAATTTTCAAGTGAATTATGGCTTTGTTATATTTGATATAAACACAAAAAAGAAGATAATAATTATGTAAATTAATTTAATATCCAGAAAAATATTCTAGAGTAGATAAATAATATTTTGAGTGTTGTTTAATTAATCGTAGAACGTACTAGTGTAATTGATCTCATGATGTAAGCATAATTAATAAATGTAGTTGTATCGTAAACTTAGTTATATTTGTTATTTATGAGATAATATAGTAGAGTGATTAATCCAAATGTTATATTTATATAATTAGTGTATTTGTACTTTTAGAAATGTAGCAATAACGAAGTGAAGTCTAAGCATGTAGTAAGTGATAGAAATCTAAGTTAAATTCTTCATAATCACCAGAGGAAAAAATAAGTACTTGCAAACCGTGAAGCTTAGCCATGTAAAAATAGTCATAGGAATCATGTTGGTATATAATGTAAATAGTATTAAATATTAACGTACTGTAACTAAGCTATAGGAGATGTAGCAAATTATGTAGCATGAAAATGAAAAAATTTTTTAAAATGCTAGATTGTAAAAAATGGACATGTGTAAATTAATGACAGAGAGATATATGAAAGCATGCAATTAGAAGTTAGCTTTACTTATTACAAGTATGCAGGTATTTGTATTTATATATTCATGCTTGTTACTTAAGTGTCAAAAGTAAAGTGAAGGTGTATGAAGAGAAATTGAAGGATTATTTGTATTTACTATCATATGATGTTGTCATATTGAGTATTTTCAGAGTTGAGACTTTTTTTTAAACAATATATGATAATAAATACAACTACTTTAATTTCTCTATGTAGGCGTAAAAGCATAACTTGTTAGAGAGAAAAATATGTTCTAGCATGTGACGTTTTGTTCAATTTATAAAGTCTCAAACAAGTAATTATGTGCAGTAGAGAGATAGGATAAAAATTTTTAATTGGATATTTGCTGCAATAGCTAGAATAATATTTCATCAGAACAGTTTTTAATTGAACAACACTAAATAGTTTTTTTTTATCATAATAAATATGTAAATAAATTTTCTATAAGTGGTAGGTTGATAGAGAAATGTTATTTCTTTTTGGATGTTAGGGAGAAAAATGTAAAGACAAGTTTCATAAAATTTCTTGATGGCTTTGGAGACTAGGATGTCTAATGATTATCTCAAGTTGCTTTTCAGATTAAATCTCATTTTAATTTCTATCTAAACATCAACTGTCGTTGTCAGAAATATATCAAACCACCTGCACATCATCTGCACTTCACCATCATCTTTTAAATTGCAAAAAAGTAAGCTAGACCATGTGTGACAGTCATATGTCTTTATATCTTAGAAAATATTTCTATAAAAACTGGAGATAACATTTAAGTTTCTGTATTATTGTTCATTATTATCTCTAGTTAAACTATTGCTCAATTTTATCAAACATTTTAACAATGAATTTTTAAAAACACTTTTTAAAGAAAGAAAAGAAAATGTTTTTAAAACGTAATAAATTATGTAGTGATGATTATTTATTCTTGAGATGACGACAGATATTTTTTATTCAAATGCCTTGAGTTGGTTGAATCAATGGATATTTTATTTGTAAATAACTAGTATATCTGTATGTTGTGATTATCTCAATTATCTTTTTAAAATGATGTTAAAGCTACACTAATGAATAATTTAAAAAGTTTTCAATGTGAGATTAACGAAGATCTAAAGAACTATCAATAGGAAACAGTTAGTTGAATACGAGCTACTGGATACTGATGTTTTGAAGCACACATAGTGAGAAAGTATTAAAGAACTGTAGATATAATAGCTGAGAGTTATGATCATCAATCAGAAAAGATATCAACCATTTGTCGGGTGGCCACCTATATTGGTCAGTCGCGTTCCGACTTATACCAAGTTTCTGCTTTGTTACAATACGCACAAAAAGAGGAAAATTCCATCAAATTTGCAAGTCACCTTCGACCTCGTACTAACGATCGATTTACTTGTATTCTATAGGATGTTGTGTTATATATATTTATACTTTGATTTATTTTTTACTCCTTCTTTTATGTATCATAATTTTCTTGGTAGATAATGGCTAAAATTTTGGCACAAAATAATTTTTTTTATGCTCCAGAGAGTGGTTGGATTTTTTTAAAATGTGCAATAAGTTGAATGTAATAATAAAAGTCTTTAGAAAAAATTGATACAAATGAAACAATTATTTTTATTACGCAATCAGTATAGTTTTTTGTTGAGTATAATGCACGGTATTAAACAGGATAAACTTTCTAATATTAAATACATTTCGAGATAAAATGGTTGAATGACTGTGTTGAAGAAACTTTTGGAGTAAAAATAATTCTTATATTTTAAATAAAGTGAGGACAAGTAAGAGGTGTGGTAAGAGTTGGTCAATTTACGGTAAAAATTACTTTGAAAAAAAGATATTTAATTAACTTGAGGTCACTTCTGATGAACTTAAAATTATTTTAATTTTTTCTTTGGAGCAATTTTTACTCCAAGTTGAATAATACTTGCCACACTTATGATTTATTGTCAATTTTTTCTCATTGAGAGAATCATTTCTACTCCAAAACTGTTTTCAGTGATACATTTAGCCGAGTATACATGAATATTATTTATAACACTAAAAATGATTAAGTTTATTTACTACTAATTATTTAATTATTTTTTAAAACATAAATTTCATAATAATGTAAGTAGAAGCATTAAAATGAAATAAATACTTTTAGAGTAACAGTCTGAATATTATGAGTGAATATTAGTTTAAATAATTGTTAGTTGTAATTCAATGAATATGAAACTAAAAACAAAAAGGTAAAGAATTAATTTAATCAAAAAGCTTCCTATCATTTTGTTAACTATAAAGAGTCAATAAATCTCCCTCATAGTTTGAACATACTGTTATGATTTGTGATAAGAGGGAAAGTTTCTGGGCTACAGGAAATCACTGTCCTTCATGGAGGAAAACGAGTGACTATGATGAGAATAACAATTCAACCACTTTACAAGGACAATGTTACCCACAAAGGCAGATGGGTATGATGGTGATGGTGGTTTTAACACAAGATCGAGTACTGAGTCTCTGCAAAGTTAACCGTCGACTGGACGGCGGTCACACGCGAAATCATCTCTAAATTGAGCGTCGGAGTGGTGAGAATGTGGGAACGTCGGGATAGCCATAACTCATGTAGTTCGGCCTGTTGCTGAACTCTAGAAATGTTATCTGCTTTTAATCGCATGTTATACTCATAAAAACTTTTATCATTCATGTTTTATGTACTTATTGATGTGCTAAATTTATTGCTGGTTCAAAATTTATCAGAGCTTTAATATAACAATTTGTTTAAAGACAATTATTTAAAAATAAATTTACATTTCTTCACTTGTTCTGCAACTGAAAAATGATTCCAATCATTGATTCATTTGTTTTAAAGTAAGTTAAGAGTTGGTTTAAAATTTAAAATAAATTTAGATTTGTGTTTTAAAAATAAAAATAGTTGAATTTATTATTTTATGTTAATATTTCAGTTAATAACTAATAATTGAATCATTTATAGTTAAAAACAAATTAAACTTTTATGGGATGTTGACTCATAATAGGAATTCAACTATTTTCATTCATTTTTTTTACCATAAATTTGTTTGAACTAATTTTTTTCAATTTTAAATCTATGCACTAGTTGTAGAGGAGCTCGAGGCAAGACGGATCCATATGACAAACAGTTTTTTGAATTTGAAAATAACTATTACACATAATAATGTAATTCAAGCAATAAACATATTTTTGTGTCAACAGCTTCGCAAGATCCGTTTGGTCTCACTAAGTTACCAAAAATTCGTCTTGCCCTGAGTTCTTTTAATATGTTTACAATAGATATATAAATGTTTAAATCGGTCATAAAACATATCTGTAATCATTGTGAATTCTGTAACAACCAGCGCACAGAATGAAGAATTAAATAAAAATTTCCGATAATTTAGGGTAACTCAAGTACCTGCATAAACAGAGTAAAATGTACTTTGCAAGATCGTAAAATTGTTCTTTTTGTCTTGTGAAAGTTACTCTTTTGTATTAGAAGATAGTTTTGAATTGTTCATATTGCTGATATTTCATTTCTATATTTTAAGCGACTATCATAATAATAAATTCAAAAAAATTTTTTTTGGTTGATGAATTAGCTCTCCAATTTTTCAAAAAAAGATTCTTCAATCTAAATAAACGAATCAGTTGTTTAAATAAATATATTTATAATTGTTAAAGGTTGTTTTAAAGTATTTATTACTTGTTTAAATACATATATTTTTCCCCACTGAAACTATATAGTTTTAGTGGGAAAAAATATATCAATTTTCTGAGTCTGTCCCTTTTGTATGAATAAATGATAGTTTTTTAAAATTTTAACCAAATAATTATAGTATTCATATACAATATTTGATAGTTAATAAGCATAACCTGTGTCTGAAAATTGTTAAACTATTTAAATTTCTAATTTGAGTATTCTACTGTATAATAATAGTTTAGAACACTCGGCACCTGAATGTCATACTTGACCGACTTTTTTGAATGAAAATAATTTTTAATTCGCTGAATATGCTTCGTCAGCTGTCCAGTTTTCCCTCATTTCCCTCCATCTCTATAGATATATACCATATTATTATTTTCTATAATTGTCTTTCTAATTAAATTCTGGGGTAGTTTTAGTATATTTATTTGTTGATGCTTATTATGAAATCCGAGCTCCAGAAAATTTGCTTCATGTTATAGGAAATTATTTACTCATTACTGAAATTGAGAAAAAAAAACAATTTTGTGGTCAATGCAAGAACTAATTTAAAAATATCATATTTAATCAATACTCAATTTGAATATGCGCGCGCTGCTGACGTTTTACTTGGATATTTATGATTAATTTATATTCACATGTTTTTATTTAAATTTACTACTGCCTGATATCAAATTATTTTTTTGATTTTTTTAATTTAAAATGAAAAGAAGGTACATCTAATGATAAATAAAAAATAATTGCATTCTAAGAATCAAAGATCATGAAAAATAGTTAATAATTTTAAATAGTATTGATTATGGTAATTAGCTATCGAGTTATATAATAAACAAGACGCAATATATTTAGAAAGAAAATATAAATGAATAGTTAAATTATACAGAAAAATCAACAATACATTTTAGTGTGATATCAGCTTAACAAAGACTAGCTGCTTCAGAAAGAACAAAATATAAAAAGAAAACGTTATATTGGTAATTAAATAACAAATTAAATAAGGGCAAATTTGTTACGCGAAAATGAATAAGTTCTAACCAATAGTTTATTTATTAATAAAAGAAAAAGTACCAAGATTTGAGTAAAATGGGGATACTGAGGTTTGAAACATGAGTGAAATATTAATGATGTAGATTTTTGTCAAGTTGAGTGATTGGTTTATATTAAAGCAAGGATGTAAGGACAAACAATGAAGTCGTCATGTTAAAAAAATAACGATACATCTTTCCCAGGACTTCCATATGTATAATTTTACATCATTAAGTTTCTTCGTATTTATGAGAATAAAGTTAAAAGGGTTAGTTCAATGTGGTACTCCATATGTACACCAACATGTAGGAGTCAATTTTCATGTTTTCACGGGGGTCTATTCATTAACCGGCTATCCTTAAATCAGTATTTGAACAGACGTGAAAATTCCAGATGTGAATTGGATACGGATGTAACATAGAAAGGAGTGGTCAGTGGTTACCATATTGGTGGTAAAGGCTTTTTTTAGTTCACCTCCTGCGGTTAGATTGAGCTCGAGGAAAAATCTGAGTAGCAGATGAGAATAGAAGGAGTTAGAAGGTTTTTCATTTATCATCGTTTCCGATGACATAGCTTTATACATATGCAAAAGTGAAGTGTACTCAGGAAGTGTATGAAGATTGTATGCTTCTAGTTGGTTGTAAATTTCTTTAGAGTTTCTTCAAAAATGTTTATTTGATTAAAAATTTTATATCTTGCAATTTAATAAATTGTTATTTTTTCAATAAACAAGATTAATATCGGACTCAATAAAATAATAGTCTAGAATACAATAAAATTTTACATGATAGAAATTTATAGCAATAATGAATAATGAAGTATTAAATGACAAACATAAGAAAAATCTAGTAGAAAAGAATAATTATATTATTTTTAATTATTCCTAATAATTTATGATATTTTTCTACCAAATATATCATTTTTGTTCAATGTTTATTACTTTTTTTTAAATCTACATTTTGCTAAAAGCTTTTAGTAATAAACCAAGTTGTTATTCTAATAACAAATAATTATTAAAGTTAAATAATTTTTATAAAAAAATACTAAAGAATAGTAGAACGTTCTATATTGAAAGATAATGAAATTATTATTTTCCGATATGATTGGATAATAAAAAGTTAGATCATTTACGAATATTTACTGAAAAAAATATAATTTAAATATTTTTACCAATGAAGTATTGTTCATTGGAAATAACTATCAGTAAATATTGACGGAATAATTATACATCGATAAATCAACAAACTACCAAACAAATGATGATAAACTTGAAGATGAAGAGTTTTTATCTGACTAGTCCTTTGTAATAATCTATATCTCTAATATATCAGCGGAAAAACAAATAATGCAATATATTGTCAGCGAAGAATAAGATAAAGGGGTGCAAACATGATTTAAGTGAGATCGATGATAAACTCCCTTACCTTGCTGGCTATTTTTCCTCGTAGTCTTTTTCTCTTTCATCCACGGATACTCAGGCACGTTAACAGTCGAGGGCTCGGAAATATTGTGAAGATCTATCATATTATGATAGTTGGGATGGTGAGAACCGGGGCTTATAGTTCTTCCAGTACCGGATGGCTCTTGAATGGATCTATCACTAGGAATTTGTGGTAGTGCCGTCATAAATTCTGCCATTGAAGGCTGACTATTGATAAAACCGGTCTCAGCTGATCCACAGGTTGGATCCATCGCTGAATGATCTGTATGCGACGGCAGACTGGCCCCGGCATTCGCCCCTGCGGCTACCGAGGCCAGCCAAAAGCCGCCTTCAACTCCCGTTGCAGCGGAGCACCCGTCGTTCGCCAGGACTGCTGGTGGCGCTCCCGTTTTTAATTTGGCTTTTCTACTTTTTGGTAGTTTATTCCAATCTTTGTATTCAAGTATTTTTTCTTAAATATGCTTTATCAACACAAACACTATCTTCACTTGGTCGAAGTTTACTTTGTCACTCATCAAATGATTCAGACCGTTTTATCTTCACTCGAGATTTAAATATCTTCACAAGTTAAGCAACATGAACTTTCAGTTTACTTCGAGTTAATACAACTAATTGATCAATTTTACAAAATCACACTAGTCAAACTATGTATTGGAACCGGTATGTTTATCGATGATACCAAGAGTTGATAAAAATCACTTGTGAAGAGATACATTCACCAATCACTGAATTCAAAATCTTCACTCAAACGCACAGTGATATTATTAATCCAATACACTTGATGGCAAAGCTACACATCTCTAAAAATCATCACTCATCAAGGATACATGAAAAATATTTATGCTGATTTAGATATCCGTGGAACAAAACACTGTTTATAAAGCAACAAAAATTGCACCAATAATGAATACAAACTGCACCATTTTCAAACACTGTCACCTGCAATGGTAAACATGAAGTGATAGGAGGTGTTGAGCCGAAGAAACAGAAATGTGGTAGCGATAGCGGAGAAGTGTAGAGTCAAGGTGTGAGCGGATAAGACTGATTCTTGAAAGAGATAAAACTATGTAATATTTACGTTGATAGAACAGAGTGTGTGTGGTGTACAGGAGGAGTAGGAAAAGAGCAGACAACTGGCAATGAAGAAAGAGAGAATCGGTAAAAAACGAAGCAAAGGGGAGACGTCAAGTGGAAAAGTGAGACAGAAGAGTAGGAAGAGGACGTTGTTTGCCACGGCAGGATCCTGATGTAAGTTTTTTTTTAGTTTCTTCCACGCTTACCGTTGTGTGTCTTTGTTAGTTACTATGCTATCTCATTTCTTTTTCTTCCGACACACCAAAGCGAGCAAAAGACTGTTGGCAAAGAAATCACGTGACTGTTGTATAAACCAATGGAACGACGGTATCAGACTTATGGAGGCTCAACCCTCTCTTCGGCTTGGGGGCGGGTTCGGCCCCCGAGTTGTTCACGAGAATACCAAGGGTACGTGCTTGCTTTCAAGCGCCTTCACTCCACGACTTGGTTGCTTTCTATCGCGAATGCTCTCACTGCATCGGTCCGGACAGTGCGAGTGCGGACAGGCAACTCTTCGAACTCGCGGTTCCTATACACTTCAAGGGCGGCCGCAAAACTTACCAGCCTGTGGGCGGAACGCGCGAGCGCGTCACGACTGGTATATGTTACTTATCATGGTGGGGATCCACCGACCATGTGCTCTGACCACGCGGTATCTTTTATAACATACCTGTCTGCATATATGCTATCACCGTGCACTGTAAATAATACCATCGAGTTTGGGTTATTATATCGTGACCATCATTAAATGTAGTCTGACTTTGTTCTATACCTGGACAGCAGGTTGGTTTGGAGAAAATTGGGATACTTCTGGTAGTTTTTTTTTGGTTGTATAATTAATTAAATGAGTTTATTAGTTGATACCTTTGCAGCTGCTGGTGACAGTTGATGTTACTTCTCATAAGTTCTTGGAAATGAATTTTCTTCCTTTTTCTTTCCATATTTAAAGACTAACATTCTAGAGAAAACTAGCATTCTTTCGTATTTGATGTAGTTATGATTTGTTTTTGACATGAAACAATATAATGTTCAGTCAATGAGGATTGTACTTGTAGCTGTTGATTTTAGTTAAGGTTTCCCATACTATCCACTTATATATTATTCGAAATTTGTTACTGTACCCGCATGAATAGGATAAAATTTTTCTTCTGCTTCAATTTCTACTTAATTTTCCTTTCGTATAAAGACCTTCAAAATAAATTTTTGTGAAAAAGACTGCACTTCACTGGGCTGCAAACAAGTCCCAAAAATGGTGTAATAAAATGTGCCAGTTACGAACGGGGTCTTGACCATTAGTTACCTCAATTGCGGACAAAGTCCTTCAGGGAAAATTCAAGTACCGGAATAGTATTAAGAATCAGCTTCGACTACAAAAAAATATGTGTCACTGTACAAATGAATTTAACACAGATTTGCACCCACTTCTGAGAGGGTTTTTTACTTTTTGTTCACAACTGGAAAACAACGGTGAAAAGAAGCCATATGTTAGGCTTTAGCTTTTAAATTATTTAGAATGTCAGGGATAAGTTCTTACAAATTAAATATTTTACTATTCAAGACCGTTATAATTTTAAGTAATTAATAATACTTAATTTGAATCAAATATTGCAATCAATTACGTAGTCTCAAATTGAGTCAAAAAAATTTATCATTTTTATCTGCTTTCGAACTTTTTTCAAATTTGAAATGGGATTTTATTTTTCGACTCGGGTATGAAGTTCCAATCGAAAAGTAATAAATTAAATGTTTCATCAAATGACACTGAATATATTTATTTATTAGATGCAGATTAATGTTCAAATAATCATAAATATAATTGATACAATTGATGCCTCTACACAGAGCTCTATTTCCATCAATTTCATGAAAATCTATCATTTATTACATAAACCAGATATCGATTTGACGTCGAAAAAAAATGTTTGGTCATAATGACTCATCATGTGGTCTTTTTTGCAATACAACTGATGAATGCATGTATTTTTAACCCAAGAATCGTTCGACAGCTTTACGATTCTTCTAAATATCAGAGAAATGAACAAAACCCTTACTTTGATTAGAGATGTCCAGTAAATAACGAATGGAGAGTCAGAAAGAAGATCGAAATTATATCTAATCATTATATAAAACTATAAAGTAGTCAGTCTGCCATCACGAATGTCGACCGGTGTCAGAGAGATGTATTAAAGACAGCTTTGATGACAGATTGCCTTGATCTTCTTTGTGAGGAAGACAGGCCGTATGATGGAATAGTTTACGGAGCATACATGGAATAAAAAACAATCATGTCCTTTCAATTATGTCAGTCTATTTTTTGTTCACGATGAAAAAAATTGGATGTCGCGCGTTAGGAATATATTTAACACATGCGAAAAGAGGGATGTACTTTGATTGAATTAAAATGTTTACCGTTAAATTTTGTTTATTTTTCTTTCCAGTTGATAGATTACAACAATAGACGTCATTAGAAGAATAAAAAATTGACATTATGATAATCATTCATATGAAAGTAAATTTAGGTAAAATTAGTAAAATATATACTACGCGAAACATTAAATTTAGTTTAAAATTATAAAACGCTAATAAATAGATAAGATTACTGATAAAAATGACAAATACATATGTACATGTAATTTTAATAATTATAAATTGAAAAAATATATTCTTTTGTTGAAATGAATAATATATAAACTACATTTGAGGAGTCATTGCAAGTTAATTTAGAGTAAAAAAATTTAATTTTAGTAAAGTTTTATCTAAATTAAAGTATTTAAAAAAATTCTCTGTATAGAATATGCAAAAAATATTTTAATATTCATTATGATTATTGACTATCGATTTAGAATTCTGTATAGTTAAATTTATCTTAATTACTCTAATCCAATTTAAAAACAATATTTACAAATCTTAAATCTAACTAAACTTTAATATTTACAAATACTAGGATGATAAGGACTTAACATAGTTCTCATAAACAGCTTCGAATTCTTGGATTTGTTGGCACTCGATATTCATCTTTCCGAAATTGTTCAGCACCCATTCATCAAAATTATTCTGATCACGATGAGTTGATTCCTGCTGCTTCTCATGGTACTTTTGCTGTGTTTGATGTTGATGAGATTGAATGACAGTTTCTTGGTTGACGAATTGATGTCCTGCCGCTACATTTGGTGAACTGTAATGACACGATCACCACTGCCTTTGCTCTAGCGGTGATAGGATCGGCACGCGTCGAGTGTAGTGTTGCGGTTTTCGCTGATTCTTCTGTTGGTTTGCTTGTTCAAGAATCTTCATTGCAGTGATGTGAGCATTTACATAAGAGTGATTAGCCTGCATCGGAGCCCGGAAGTTCCTTGAAGTTACAGGCACGATGTAATTTGGCGGCGCAACGTGTATGGCAGGTACATTCGATGTTTGTCTCTGTCCAATTTCTTTATCATCGATCTCCTCTTTCCGCTTTATTCGACGATTCTGAAACCAAACTTTGATTTGTTGCTCCTGCAAGTTCAAAATTCGCGCCATTTCAGTCAGTCGGAGTTTGGACAAGTAACGATTAGTCTTAAACTCTTTTTCAAGTACTCGTAACTGATCACTGCTAAAGGCCGTGCGTGTTCGTTTTTTTTTGTAAATTCACTTCTGAAACAAAAAGAGATAAATATATTAAAATATATATATATATATATATATATATATATATATATATATATATATATATATATTTAGGTTAATTATACGAGATTTTGTGGAATTTTCATATTTTAATAAATTTTTTTTCATATGGATAGTTAGAATAATTCCATACTCTCTTAAACTGAATCAGTGAAAACTACTGCGTCTCAGTGAATATTCACTGATTGCCAGTGTCAATCATACCACTTAAAAAATTAGTCATTGGATTAGCACTGGATATCAGTGAATATTTACTGATTCGCAGTAGTTTTCACTGAGTGAGTTTAAGAGAGTACGTAACTGACTCAACACGGAAAAAACACGATGTTGGTAATGATTTGGGTCTGCATCAAATGTTTGGCTGAGTTGAAAATTTTAAGGCATCTTACTTTTGTCGTTTCTGTTACTGTGAACGAAATGATATTGATCAAGTATTTGATGATAAAAACTGTGTTCTTCGCGATAAAATTAGTTACAAGACAGATTTAAAAGTAGACGATGGTCAATTGGTTAAATGTCCAACGACATCATACAAGAAGCTGACGCACAAGTAGTCGCGACCTCAGTTTTTCGTTCAAGATGAGGTCATTGGACGATTGACAAGTGTATGAGTCGAAGTATTGGCGAAAAATCTCTAATATTAATCAGCCCTCCTCTAAGAGGTGGTCTTGAAACTTTGTCATGTGTTACACTTGACAAAATAGCACCTATCTGACCGGGCTCATCATCTCAGTAGGGAGCCCTGCGGATTAACGGAACTTAAAGGTAAGAAAGGTAAACTTTATGGCGACTTTAGCATTGAATCGTCGCTCAATCCTTTACTTACTGTTGCGACCAACAAAAATAATCTCTCACAGATTTTGACAATAGAATCAATTGTTAG